GTGTGTGTGTGTGTGTGTGTGTGTAAAGATCTGGACAAAATGAACAGAGAAAGATACTTCCACAAACCTCTCTCTCTAGAGCAGTTTTTAAACTGCTATATGCTACAACCATACCTATGAAGATTATTGTAGACATTTGTCCTGAGGTCCATAGTAAATTAAATCATGGGCCAAAGATTCTTTACATCTATGTTAAATCATAGTCTTAGGTCATTCGGGCCACTTTTTAAACAGAATACAAATGATGCCATGCAGTGTTGACCTAGACTACATGGAGCATTACATCACGTACCTGCTAAGCCTTCTACAACTCCATTTTGACACTTTAATTGGGGAACCATACAAAATATATTACATTTGTAAGAATCTTTTACATTTTATTAATAAACACCTGAAATTTGAAATTAATCCATTCTTATTCTTGTAAGCCCATGTATGTATGCCTGTTTGGACTATTTATGCACGACACCCGTGGGGTCCCCTTGAGAGCAGCTTGATGCCGCTGCCTCTGGCTTCGACTGTGTGACAGGGTGGATGGCGGGCCGCTGGATGTGTGGTTTACTATTACCTAGTTTACATTGGTTTACATTGCCTAGTTTTTATGTAAAAATTTTAAATTAGCAACTGGTGCCTCAAATAATTTCTTCTTAGCATTGCAAAGGATAAAACTAAAAATTATAAAGTCACTCACTTGCTTTCATATTTCATGCTGAAGTATAATTTAAATTTGTATTACATATATATATTTACATTTATATGTATATAACGTGGGTAGGTTTTTATGCATCTTTTTGCCCCAGTAATGTCTACTTGTGATTTCTTAGTGATTAAAGACAATATTTGGAGCCAAAGTCCTATCAAATACACGGTGTGATTTAATTAAAAGTAGATGCCAGTGTTGTTTGCTACTAATTATCAGATATCAACCTCCAAATGGCACAGTCATCTAAGCTTTAAATTACCGCATCCCAGGACTCCTACTTACTAACATAGAAAGACAGATGTACTGACATTTAATTTTCTAATTAGAATTAAATAGAACTGAACAGATTTAAACATAAATCCATTCATAACATTTGGATGAAAGTGGAATCTTATTTTCCTTTTTCACTGCTATATAATTTGCTAGCGATACAACTGGCTTGTTTCAAGGCTGAATGCTAATTGTTGAAAATTCCAACCCAAAATGTTCAGCATGGGTTTCTAGAATTTTGATAGCTTTATTAAAAAGAGCAAAGATGAAATATAGCTGTAAATAAAGCAGTTTACATAGCTATTTTGGAGAAACATTAGTGGGAATCCAGGAGTCCCCGACTTAGGACAAGTTTCTGCTCCAATACGCGCTCATGTCAGCTCTGCTGTAAACTAAATACCTCTTTTTGTTCTGACTTCATTATTATGGCCTTGTCTTCCCAGTATCTTTTTAAAACTGATGTCTGAACATCTATCTGCCAATAGTAACAGCTGAGGATTGCAACATGGAAAACTCCCACACGGAGACTTTGTATGCTGTTCATATTGTAAAGGAGATGTTTGAAAACCAGAATACATGGCTGTTTGGTGTAGCTCAATAGAACCTGAATACATTGTAAATTAACGACTACCTATAATGAAAGGAGGGTCAGCTAAATTAGAATGGCCAGATAATCGGCCTGCATATAAGACATCTGTTTAGAGACTGCCAACATTTTTTATATCTGCAGTTTGCTATGTTACATTTTGAGGAAAATGATCAAAGAATTGCTTCATGAAAACAAATGAATAGCCATGAGTATAATAATGCTGTTTACATAGAATTCTTTGCAAATTTCATAGATCTGTGAATGCTCAAAATGTTTGAGTTTATTATAAATTATAGTTATACTCAAGACTTACGCATTGTAATAGAAGCTAAAAATAAAAGTCATCCCCAAAAAAGTTGAATTGTGTTTGCTTGTTTTTTTCTATTTCGTTGAGAATAATCTTTTCTGCAGGCTAATCCAGTTCATACCTAAGTATGTTTTACTTAATGATAATCTGGAATCCCTGGGTGGCACAAGTGGTTAATCACTCAGCTACGAACTGAAAAGTTGGTGGTTTGAATCTACACAAAGGCAGCTGAAAAGAACTCTTTTCTGATTGCTTCTGAATGGTCACAGACACGGAAAATGGGAACTTGTTCTGCTCTGAAATACAAAAGGCAGAAGAGATCGCACCTGCTGTGGAGTGTGTTGTTTTTAGTATGATAAAGTCATACGTTTTTTGTTTTTATAAAGTTGTATTTGGCAAAATCCAAATATACAATTCAATAGTTACAGCATATCAAGAAGAGTTGTATAATCACTACCACTAATAATTTTAGACCCTTTCTTCTTTCTTGTACTCATACTTCACAGGAATTTGCACCAGGAGTGGGACAAATAGAACTGTTTCAGGAGTGAATGTACTCATACATTTAGTCACACAGTGACTATACATTGTGTGTGTGACTACTGAACATACGTTGTGTGCGGTCAAGTTGTTTCTGACTCATGATGACCCGCTCCTACAGAGTTCAACTGCCCCCCCACCCCAAAGAATTTTCTCTGGAGCTGTTCTCCAGGTCTTCCTCCACAGATCCGATGGTGGGTTCGAACCACTGACCTTGCTTCCAGCAGCCACGCTCTGAACCATTCTGTCATCAGTGAAACTTGAACAATAATATATAATGTCTAATGGTTTGGATTTTACAGCTAAAGTTCTGGATCACAGGTCAGCCCTAACGCCAAGTTTCCTTGATAAATTCCTTAATCTTTATATATTGCAAGGGACCTCATCTGGCATTTCTAGTAATCATCCTGCAAGTTACGATTACAGACGCTGAATGGCACTATAATGCATCTCAACGTCACTGGTTGTCATACCCAAGTCCCTATAGCAAGAGAAGCTAAATTCTACCACAATGATTATCACACCATAGCTATAGCCACAACCCAAGCAAAATGAACTGAAGATTACTCTCTTCAGGTAATCTCTCTCGGGAAAGAGAAATGGCATACAGGTAGAGCAGAGAAAGCCTTTGATGCGGTAGCATTGGATTCACACAGGAAAGGAAGCATGAATAATTGACAGCTATAAACAAGCAAGAGAGCAAAAAAGCAAACATGCGACTCTGCTCGCTATTACTTTGCGAGCCCTGTAATAGGACATCTCCGTTAATTGATCTGTCTGAGGAGAAACTAGTTTTAAGAGATTTATGAAGCATATGTAATATCTATATTACACTTATCTGGATTCACAATTATACTTAAAACAATTGAAATAGAAGACAATAGCTAAACTAATGAGCAATAAACACACAAACATTTCCAAGCTTTTAACAATTTTGAATGTCTAGTAGGGTTGGAACTGCCCGTGTGGGTTTGCAAGGCTGCATGTGGGAGAAGAAAGCCTGCATGTGGGAGAAGAAAGCCTTTCTCCCTGAGGAGAGGCTGGTGGTTTAGAACTGCTGCCCTTGTGATGAACAATCCAAAGCACAACCCACTTAACCAAGCTGCAACTGCCTGCCAGAAATGGCCTTAGCAATATAAATTTATTTTATCTTGCTAGATAAAGATAACTGTCAAACCACTGCCTCCTAATTTAAATCTCCAAAAGTCTTAGGGCTACAGGTGGATGTAG